TGTGATTTGTATTTTGAAAAATGCAAAGAAGCTGAGCATCTAGGTAGATGCCCAACTGTTCAGACTCATCCTTCAGTGCAGGCTGAAGATAGGAGGAGGCTTGCCTTCCACACTGGGCTCCGGTGCAAATGAGAGTTCAGCCAGAGCAAGGCACTGGGGGCTCAATCTTTCTGGCCAGCTTCTCTGGAACCAGGAGAGCCAGGGCAGGGAGAGGTGGGTCAGTGGATGGTTACAAGCCATCCTGTGATCTTAACTAGGGCTCAGTGGGTTTCTGGAAACAGGCAGCCCATTTCTGGCACACTAACAATTCTAGTCAGAACTTACTGGCAAATGTCTTTTTATTCCTGCTCTGTAGCTGGTCACAAAGTGTCTCGGGGATCTCTGGTCAGAGGGATAATTTCGGGATGACGACATAGATCCTGGAGCTAAACCAGCTTACACTCAACGTGCTACATTCTAATTTACTTTGCTTGATGCTGGGGTCCTTTTAGAATTTCAACAGATTTTTTATTTTGTACTGATACAATCGTAGAAAGGCAAACTAAATTACAAAGATGCTGGAATACAACAACTTTACAAAAGGACGTGACATTCGCTTTATAAAAAGAAAACAAGTTGCTTTTTCCTCTTAAATGACAGAGAATATATAAAATGTACTTCAAAATGGAATGCCCAGGAATTTCTCATTTATGTAACAAGGAGTCAATATCTGTACCTGGAAGAGGAAAAACAAACCCAATCATGCTCACCCAACATGAATGTTTCTCTATCTTGCCTGCTCATAGGAATCACCCAAGAGCTTGAAAACAAACAAACAAACAAACAAAAAACCACTGCCACCTGGGTCCCATCCTCAGAGATTCTGGTTTAATGTGTCTGGGTTGGGATTCGAACATGGGAATTTCCAAAGCTGCCTAAGCGATTCTAATGTGAGGTCATGCTTGAGAACTGCTACCCAAGATGCTGTGAGGGCTTCAGGGTAGCAAATGCCATTTACAATTTCAAAGAGAAAAATCTACTGTCTTATATTTTTGCAGAGGCAGCATGTTCTGGGGAAGAAAAGACTGAACATGAAGTGAAGAGATGCAGGTTTTGACACTGGGTTTGTGGCTTAAGTTTTCTGGATCTAAATTTCCTTATTAGGAAAAGAATATCATTCGACTAGATTTCTAAGCCTCCTTCCAACTTTGACATTCTCAGATTCCAGGTCTGTGGTTTGTAACTTTGTTAAAAAATACAGATGCCTTGGCCTCACCTGCAGACACGTTCATCTGACTGGTCTGCAGCGAGGCTGTACATCAGTATTTGCGAAAGCTCCCCAGGTGATTCTAATGTGCAGACAGAACTGAGCATCACTGATCTCTGTTCTCTGTTGAGCCAAAGTCTTCAGACAGAAGTTGAGTTTGTACATGAGTGGGTGCATGTGTGCATACATGTGTGCATGTGTGTGTGTGTGTGTGTGTGTGTGTGTAGTGTGTACGTAAATACGCATGGGGGTGCAACGCCAGCTGAGAGGGTGGTGGGAATTCACGTTCAGCCTCGTATTAATTCAGTAACATGGAAGTAATGCAAATGCATATGTCCCTGCTGTCTTAATTATTCCCTGCTGGTTGTTTTTTTCATGTGGTGGAGAAGTGATGCCAATTGTCTGGGATCCTGGCCCATTTTAACTGTCTGTTGGCTTCACAGGAATGAAAACAACAGGTAAGATGGCCTGGAACAATAGTAACACCCAACATCCAATACTTGCACATGCTTTACAGCTCATCTAGCGCTTTACATATATAATATCACCTCCTCCTCCAAAGACAGAGATCAAGTTTCTTTCTTGAGCTAGAAAACCCAAGACTCAGGAGAAATTAAGCTTTTTGTCCAAGAACACGCAACCGAAAGGTAGTGGATGTCAATATTCTAACCCAAACCTTTGAACTTCACATTCTTCTTTCCTATTTACTCCACTTCCTGCATCCACGTTGACCCCAAAACATCCTTTGGTGACCAGGCACGGGGGTCTGGTGAGGGGAGGTGCACTGTTTCTTTGGGGAGGGGGAGTGAAGGGAATGGGGCTAATGGTGCTGGTTTTTCCTCTACACCACACAGAGGGTCAAACCAAAAAAAGATGGTGCTGCCTTTGAAGGAAGGCCGTTCACTTTGGTTAGAGGAAGAGAAGGAGGGCACAAGCCATGTGTGAAACCCATGTCAAGGGAAGGAAACCCAAGCAAGTTAGCTTTAGCCTTAGCTGCCACCTTGTTCCTGAACAATCTCATTATTCTGGACTTTTTTTCTTTTCTTCTAAAAGTCAGTGATATTGTAACTAAAAAGATAATCTTCAAAGCGGAGCCAGATAAAAGAGCAAAAGGCCAACATATAAAGATTTATAGAATACAGCTATGCCAGGTTAGACCTACAGATTTAATAACTACCTTGAAGAGGCTCAAAATTTTCTCAGTTCTTAGATTCTAAAGCTATGGTTCGAGCACCACCTATAGAAAGAAATCACCATTGGGAAGAGTCTAATTCTTTGCTCCATTAATTCAGGCACTTCTCAAAGAGATTGTTCTTTGAGAAGTTCTCATATGTTTATGTGATAGAATCCAAATCCAGACTGATTAACATAGAAATAAAGCAGCAGAGGAAAATTCCAGGGAGCCAAGTATTAAAGCATTTCATGGGGGCAAAACAAATTTAGAAAACTATTAATATAAAAAAGCAAAGTGAAGTTTTTAACACAGTTGGCATTCAGCACATGAGTGAAGAGCTTGTGCCAATAATCTACTTTATACTGCATTTGCCCTTGAGGACATATATGAAAATTGCAGCGCAAGCCATATGGATAGGTTTGCAAAACTGTATAGTGAAAGGTAGGCCATGTATCTTATTCTCAAAGGGTTATAAGTCTCGCCACTTAAAGGGCTGAAATAGTAACAAGATCACCAATGTGCATGAGATATATTTAACACTGAATATTTCCAACTCCTGAATAGAAGTAAAATTAGTCTATTGAGGCTGGCTCATAAAAATCATTTTAGAGCTACAAAACAATTCTGAGAGTTTAATCATAATAATACTTAGAGCTTCCATAAGAAGGAGTTGAAGACTTCAAATTGAAATATAATGAATAGGTCTAAGCCTCTCCACTAAGCACTTGAAAACTGACTTACCAGAGTGCCATGAAGGCCTGGTTTTATCCCTTCCTTCAAGAGACCTCCCTCCTCACCTCTTTCCACTTCAAAGGGATTCCTGTGTATGAAAAGGCATGAGGAAATTCAGAGCATATGAGGGTCAAGTAGTTCATTATGAACATCTATCCAATACGCTAGATGCCGTATAAATAGAGTATAATGAGTGAGGCCATTTTCATAATAACGGGGCTATTTATTTCATGTGTCTGATACCTTGGATTGGTGTTGGCTAGTTGTGTGGTTATTTAGAGGTCAGATAAATTAAAAAAAAAAAAGAAGACTCACAGAAGAATTGAACTTCTCTTCACCTTGTTAATGAAATTTACCTTGGAAAGCAGCAAGAGGCCAGAGTTTTAATCAGAAAACTTATGGATCCCCAGACTGTAAAATGAGGATGTCTATGCTTTCTTCACTCAACGGATGTGAAGATTAAATTGAGCTAATGTGTATAAAACTCTGGGTGCAGTGTCTTGCATAAGACAAATGCTCGATAAATGTTATTTTTCTCTTTCCTCCAATTTTGTTCTAAATTGCAATGACTTAGGCAGAAAGTCAGTCCCTCTCATCATGACATAGTGTATTTCTCCCAGCTAGCATAGATTTCCATCAAGAGTGCTTAAAATAACTTGTGTTCCGATGTTCTCACTTTCCTTAAAAACAGATCCGTGTTAATTCATCACACAGTAATTCTTTAGTTCTTATTGGTAATAGTTGGTGTTCTGGGTAGCCCTGAACTCCCTGGTAATATTTCTATTAATGAAGAGGATTTATTCTAATGAAATATTTGATGTCAGAAATTTTGTGAGCACAGGTAGAGATAATAATCAAACAGAATATGGCTTCCCTATTCATTCTTCAACCTTGGTCGCAGACTCTGTCCGCCTCTCTGGGTTAGATGACATCTGATCTTAGTCAGCATGGGGAGACCCAATCTCTTGGGGTGATTCACTGTCCAGAGGCTCAGCATCTACCCAAGATCTCTTTTTTAAAATTAATTTTTATTGGAGTATAGTTGCTTTGCAATGCTGTGTTAGATTCTGGCAAAGTGAAACAGCTATATGTATACATATATCCCCTCTTTTTCGGATTTCCTTCCCATTTAGGTCACCACAGAGCATTAAGTAGAGTTCCCTGTGCTATACAGTAGGCTCTCACTAGTTAGCTATTTTATACGTAGTCATCTACCCAAGATCTTGATTAAGCTGCCACTCGACCCTTCCTGATGGCCAGTTAGGAGGGGCCCCAGGGATGGAGCTTTCTCCTCAGATGGAACCAGTCTCTGATCTTTCTAACCTGACTATCCATTTCATATGTCTGATATCTTGAACGGATGCTGGCTAATTGGGTGGATATTTGGAAGTCTCTCTCTGAGAGCACCGTCTTTTTTTAAATTTTTTTTTTCGGTACGTGGGCCTCTCACTGCTGTGGCCTCTCCCGTTGCGGAGCACAGGCTCCGGACGCGCAGGCTCAGCGGCCATGGCTCACGGCCCCAGCCGCTCCGCGGCATGTGGGATCCTCCCGGACCGGGACGCGAACCCACGTCCCCTGCATCGGCAGGCGGACTCTCAACCACTGCGCCACCAGGGAAGCCCAGCACCATCTTTTTTAGTTGGAGGAAGCCCAAGCGGTGATGAGAAGGCCCAGCTTGGACCAGTTAGACACTGCTCAGTCACGGGAAAGATGTCACAGTGGGCACTCCATGATGGCCATGGAGAAATTCTTTATACATAAATGTACATTATTTGACATGTTGAAAATATTTTACGTTAGAATTAGAGAAGCATGTGAGTCATGGTGCAGAAAAGCTGTGTCACTCACCTGCCCAGGTTGTTCACAGGCTGTCTGGTACCTGGCCTGCTGGCACAGTTCTTTGACCCTCTCATATTTGGGCAAGTGATTTGACTGTTGGATATTCTTGTTGGATTCTTCCTTCTTACGTAGAAATTTCCTTTGACAGAAAGGGAAAAGCTTCTTCTGTGAGAAGGGATCTGAAATGACCTTCGCTGAGACCTGCCTGTTCTTTTTCCTTCCCTGTCACATGACTCCACATTCTCCAGGCAGCAAGAAATTGATATCAAGGGTAAAACCACAGGAACCCCACATTTCACGAGTCCTTTGCAAAAAATTACAAGCTGGGAACTATGAGGACGAGAGGTCAGGGGAGGAAGAGTCATTTCCTCCAAAATCATTCATTTCAAAACTCTGAGCAGAAATGTTTAGCTTTCCAGGCTCAAAGTTCCTTTTTTGTTAAAAAGCAATGATAGAAATGCTTTTCTCCCGCTCAGTGTAAGTATGGAGGAAAACAAAGACACTGGGCGTTATAAATCAAAAGGGCAAACCCAGAAGTGACTCAGGAACAGTTACAATCTCATATATTTGTCTAGTCAAAACTAGTAAAGGCGCTTAAGGGAAAGAAGGAAAAGGGTGTCAGGCAGAAGATGGGAAAGAAGGTTGAGAAAGTCAATTGACTGGTCCAATTAGGAAGCGAGGTGGAGAAATGCAACTGTCAATCCAGAGCCATGTAAGGGCTGTGGTCCCATCTTTGCAATTCTGATGCAACAATCATTACTCTGCTGGCCAGGGAAGGATGAGTCGCAAATGTTCAGTCTTATGACTAAGTTTACGAAATCTGCACACTTAGTAAACCAAAATAAGGGGAAAAACATTCCCAGCAGGGAGAGCTGCCCACTAGGACTGGTGCCCAGAAGCACCCTAGTAACCAATAATTACCCTCTTTCCACGAGGAATGTATCACGCCAAATTTTGGCCTTCTTGTTTGTTCGAAACCTGAAAGCAAAATAATAATATTTACTGTTGGCATTTGGACGTTTTTCCAAACGGATCTGTGCTAACAGTTTATTTAAAGCAACACCTCTCACTTCCCGCAGACCAGGACACCAGGACTGCATCTCCATTAATACGCTATTCACAAACAGCCAAGAAAGTCTCAGCTCTGGGTGATCCTCAGGTGCAAAGGGTATTTTGCCTCTACTTCTGCCAGCTGCTGCCCAGCTCTGGGAGCCAATGTGCTCAGGGCTGGCTCAGGGGAAGAAAACTGACGCACCTGTTACCTGGCTTTTCCTGGTCCAGGAGTTTGAGGACAGACTTGCCGTCTATGTCAGGAGGTGCGTCGAGCCCAGCAATGTCCAGGATGGTAGGGGCCAGGTCAATGTTTAGAACAATCTGTGGGACTCTGCAAAGGGACAGATGGTCACGCCCCAGACCCAGCACCAGTGGAGGGTGCCACCAGGGCTGTTTTCTCCATCCCAGGACTCCCTGGCCTTCACTGCTTCTCAGCCTCTCATCTGGTCCCCAAGGGATGGTGGCTGCATCTGGGAGGTGCCTGAGTAGTCAGCAGCCAGGGCCAAGAGAAAGATGAACTGGCTGTCACAGGGCTGGAGAGATGCCTGCACCCCTGAACTCTGGCCACACTGCCAAATTGTGGCCTGATATTTGGTTTTTGTAAGCTGTGTATTTTCTTCTGAAACCCAATAGTCCACCACTCCTCTGTTGAACTAGGGCTTCAAAATCAACCTTCTGAAAAAGGACACAAGGTTTTTATACTTGAATTCAATCCATGCTTCCTAGTCTTGCAAACATAAAGCCTTCTCACTCTAGATCTGACACTTCCCCAGGGGTTTCCAATGATCTGGAGAGACATGATAACACTCTCCAAAGAAGTCCTTCTTACTGCCATCCCCTCGTCCCCAGGATGCAGTGGAATGCAGCAGCAGACGAGACTCGTAGATGAGACTCAGAATATCTGGGATCTGGGCCCCGAGGCTGCCACCTCCACGATCGGGAACTCTGAGAGAGGCACGTACCCTGTCTGTGGAGCGTCTTCATTGTGAAATCAGGGGTCCAGGCTGGATGGTCTTTAAGGATCATTCCAGCTTTTGAATTCTACTTGCACTCTTTTCTTTCACTCTTTCCATAATTGTTTCATGTACACGATCTCATTTTACACAAAACATTTTTTTAATGATTAAAAACACATTTATTTAAGTGGCTGAGTTGTCTCCATTTGAATATTGCCTATTGCTTCCATAATATCAGAAGTTTTTCACAGATGCTTTTTAACGGGCAGCACCTGCTATATCTCTACTAACAGTTACACAAAACATGTTGATCGGTAGGGCATATGAAACCCATTTTACGATGGGAATATCTACGTACAAAGGGATGCAGAGACTTGCTTAAGGTGACAGAAATGGAATTCCAGTCCTTCAGGCTTCTTTTCTTAAAATTTATTTAAACTTTATTTAAAGTTCTTAAAATTTAATTTTCTTTAAAAAATTATTTAGTAATAATTAAAAAAAGAAAACAAGGGCTTCCCTGGTGGCGCAGTGGTTGAGAGTCTGCCTGCCGATGCAGGGGACATGGGTTCGTGCCCCGGTCCGGGAAGATCCCACATGCTGCAGAGCGGCTGGGCCCCTGAGCCATGGCCGCTGAACACACACCCCAAAAAAAAAAAAAAAAAAAAAAAACAAGAGGAAGGACTGGTTATTTTTTAAAAAAGATTCAAAGAAGGTAAGGGTGATGTTCCTAAAGATCACATTCCGTGTCTGTGCGCACAGCCTCATGCATTCTGGTAAATTTGAGAGAATTAATCACTGATACAGTTGTTTTTCCTTTCTCTTGAAAGAGTATACTTTAGTTAATTTAACATGTGGCACAAGTGGGGGAGGGGTGGAGCAGGGAGGAGGTTTTTGTCTTCTGAATTACCAACCTACATGCACCCTTTTTGTTTGGATGAAAGGAAACCAGAGCCTGAGATTGGTAATTGAATTATCTCAGACGTACACGAGCTATGACAGCTGAATGTTGGAAACAGAGAAATACGTACATCGATCCTGGTTCTACACTTGGACCACGAATAAAGAAAGGCACACGGATATCAAAGTCATATGGCATGGATTTCCCCTTGACCAGTCCAAACTGCCCGATATGGTAACCGTGGTCGGCAGTATAGATGATGTAAGTGTTCTCCAGCTCCCCTGTTTCCACAAGCATATTATACAGCTGAAACACAGCACAGACACCAGTCAGAAGCAATTGTGATGGCGTAAGATGACAACAGTGCTGCCATGATTTCACCCAAACCTTTTTTCCATTATTTCTAGAAGGCAAGAGTTGCTTTAATAAGGTTGACCAACATGTACATTACCCACATTTTCCAGTTGCCTGCAATCCTGGAGGGGAAAAAGTCTAATAACACAGTTGATTTTGTATAATATGTAACTTTTGTGAGTCTGGTATGTTCTATTTAAAGGTTTTGTTTGCCTCTTTGGAAAAAAGAAAAACCCCACAAAACAATCTCCACCACCAAACTTTAAGGTTTTACTTTGAAAAATCCATTTAAAAGCAAATTTGACTATCATCCCTCATATCTAGTTATCAAGGGTTAAAAACAGGCTACTTCTGAGCCTGATCCAGCTAGATCCAGCCTTCAGGCATGTCTTGTTTGGCTTATGTTTTAAAATTCAGGAAATTTCAAATAAAATTTGTGTATTTCTGGCTTCTTTTAGAAGTCAGAGGACTTGATACTATATCCACATTCTTACACAACAAAAATTAGTTGAAGTTGAGTAGTTGCTCCTTGCTTTAGATGGGGGCACTTAGTTTCAAGTTCACCACAAGCCCCACCATTCTCTATTGCCTTATACTGGATCTGATTTAGCTATTTACATTATTTGCTTAATTCTTGAAGGTATTTGCGGCTATAGTCCTTGATTTATGATGTCTTGATTTGTATCTCCTCTCTGCTACTGGCTCCACAAGAACCAAGCATGGAGAGGTAATAGAAAGGGGACGAGATAAGGGAGCAATGATAAATTAACTGAATACACACACACTCTCTCTCTCTTAAAATGAAAAACAACAACAACAACTACAAAAACAGGATTGGCAAGAATGGGTCTACAAAAGGGGAGCTGGACCAAAACCTGTCACTGAGGCAAGTTCGTGTGCTTACCCTTTCCACAGAATCATCCACTGACATCAAAGTCTGAAGCCGTTTGCGATGTAGAACGTTTGTAAATTCCATGTGGATGGGCAGCATGGGTCCCGTGTACTGCATTATCCAGTGTTTGTCCATATTTGGTGCATAGTTATAACTAGGAGTTCTGCAAATATCCAGAAAGGAGTCTTACTATATACGCTTTTAGCCATTTAGAGACATATCTCAAGTTAAAGGCTGTGAAATAACAATTTAGGAAAGATAATTTAGACACTGCTAAAGTATTTTTTTCTCCCATACATCTCTCTGTGTTTATATAGAGATCTGAAGTCTGCACCACCCCAAACAGCACAAGCCCTCTGAAGGTATATGGATTCAAACTTAGAAGACCGAGACTGGCAGCTAAAAATCTAATTAGTGCAAGTTCCTTTGGGTCCTTTGACTAAAATGTGTAAAAACACGTCAACATGATTGTGGTCATGTTACAAATCTACATATAAAACTCAGTAATGTAGAAGGGAATGTTCTCATGGTGATATTAACTCGAAAAATTTTATTGCTATGAAATATAGTCACTAATACGTTATGTGCAATGATGAGGAATCAAAATTTCAATACATTTTCTTCTCTTGAATTTACTAGGGTATTTTATGGATTACTTACATATCTAGTCTCTATGAATTTTTCTCATTCCTAACCTTGTATATAGATACCATTAATTAATTAATTTTTTAAAATTTATTATTATTATTATTATTTTGTTTTGCGGTACACGGGCCTCTCGCTGCTGTGGCCTCTCCCGTTGCGGAGCACAGGCTCCGGATGCGCAGGCTCAGCGGCCATGGCTCACGGGCCCAGCCGCTCCGCGGCATGTGGGATCTTCCCGGACCGGGGCACGAACCCGCGTCCCCTGCATTGGCAGGTGGACTCTCAACCACTGCGCCACCAGGGAAGCCCAAGATACCATTAATTTAATTGGATTTGCTGGAATTATAACCAAGTCTATGGCAATATACATGCTTACCAATAGAGCTATTCATTATAGACAAATCAATATAGGTGCAGGGCATAATTTTTTGTTAACTATAGGGAAGTGGGTTCTGTTGCTCTAGGACAGGTGGTTCAAGCCTATATTTAATCTATTGCAGAGATCCAAGAGGTGTCCATACTTTCCTTTGGGGCCGCACAAAGCATGTCATCTTCTCTTTGAAGTATTCCCCAACTCCCTGGACCATTAGATGCTGCCACCTCACACTCCCAAAGAACATATCTATGCTAGAACAATTCTCACAGTGAGAAATGTTTGTTTTTCATTTGACCTCTCCGCCAGACTATAATGTACTTGAACCTTTTCCTTAGCTGATAAGCATATAAGCATTGTTTAATATTAAAAACAGCGAGTATTTACCACGTGTCAGGTATCGTGCTAAGTGTTTTATTCACATCGATTCATTTAATTAGCTCAGCTCTTCTGGGATATAGGTTTATCATTCCTACTTTCCAGCTGAGAAAACTAAGGCTTAGCAAAGATAAATAACTTTCGCAGGTTAATAAAATTAGCGGGTAATAGAACCAGGACTTGGTTCCAAAGCCCATTCGCTTTAAAAAAATGAAAAGAAAGTAGAATGAGGGGGGTTTCCTGCATCTGAGATTGCTCTTCATATGAACCACAACTGTGCAAATAGCCAGTCTCACAGAATAAGCAACAGTCTATGTTGATCGAGAAATTTGATTACCAGTCTCTGTTCTGGGGAGGATCCTATCAGTGAAAGATGGTGGATAATGATGACTGAAGGTGACCCTGTGGCATCATTTATTATAAAACTAGAGAAATAATCAGTCGCTGTGAGCCTGGTGAGTCCAGGAGCCTCGACCATGTTCCAGTGGTTCTGTCATGGAGGGAATTTCGCATGGGGGAACTTGGAGTTTCTGAGATGCATGACTGTACACAGGGGTGTTTCCAGGAGCACAGGGCTCTATAAATGCTACCTGTGACTATACATTTTCTTCTGCCAGTGGATTTGCAGCACCTCTCTTTTAATATTTGAAAATGCTGTTTTGGTACCATTGGTCTTCCTGGTGTAAAAAGTTACCCTGATGATCTGTAAGGATGCGGGTTAACCAGCAGAAATGCCACAGCTCAAATGCCAATATAACACAGAGCACAGGAGACACTGTCCCTAAAAGTGTACAAGTTACACTTAGAAGTGTCAGTTAACTCCCCTTTAAGGAGACAGATTTGTAGGGTGGGAAAAGCACCTGCAGTTCGATTTGCTCACCTGTAAATGGGGATAAGAGCATCTCTAATAAAAAGTTGTTTTGAGGAACAACAAATCTGTCTATCTATCATCTATCTATCTATCTATCTATCTATTTTCTATATCTATCTGTCATCTATCTCTATCCCCTCTATCTATATTTATCTCTCTCTCTCTCTATTATCTATCTATATCTATCTGTCACCTATCTCTAGCCCCTCTATCTATATTTATCTCTCTATCTCTATCTAGCTATCACTTTAAAGTGCCCAGAACAGAAGACGTACCTGAGTTTCCTACATGAGCCAATAAAAAAATGTATTCTATAAAAGGATATGGGTTGAAAAAAATCTCATGGCATTAAAAAACAAACTTTCAGATATCACTTGCCATTCTTTGTAAGAGAAACTTTCAACATTAACTTTCGTCTCCTTACCAAGTAGACACCTCATGAACCAAATGGTCCCATTTTTGGCCTGAAAGCGTTCTTCATATCTAAAATTGCACCATGGGCCAAATCTGACTCTTGTATCTCAGGGGCCTGGGCAGTAGGAAGGGACTTAAGCCCATGTTTCTTATTCTTCACGCAGCGTGTCGCCTTACAAACAGGATTAGATTAAGAGACAGAAGAGGAGGTGGAGAGAGGGGGCTTCTAAATCCCGGCAGAAAGAGATTTTCACCCATGGGGGTAGTTTGAGGTCAGAGAAATAGAGCAACTTGGTCACGAAAGGTCCCTCACCACTTACTGATACGTGCCCTGAAAAACAATACGGCTATAAAAGATTACATGGGGTTTCTTCATAATACCTCACCCTCTCCTCTGAACTGCCTTTGATGTTGGTTTGCCTTAATTTTAAAATAAATCTAGTCGATTTTTTTTAAACCACAAAAACTCAACACAAATAAAAATTACAATAGGGAACCGAAAGGCAGGCTCACAGTGGGCCAATCATGTCCTCCACCGTGTACCTTCAAGTGCTTGGCAGGGTTCCATCCACCTCGCTTTGAGGAACAGGGAAGGAAAAGGGAGAGTTCAGGTCCGCTGTCAAAGCTGTCCTTCCCCCATCCCCTGTTTTTCTTAATTTCTGGATGTGGGAGATGACCCCTGCCCCCCTGCTCTGGGGATGAGATCCCAGGTGGGATCTCAGCGGGGGGGAGGGGGGATAAGCATTTGCCTTTTAAAGGAAGACAGGCTGCCACTGCTTCCCACAGAACAGCAGCTGTTCAGGGACCGGCAGGTGGAAGGTTGGGGGTCGCTGGAACTGACAGTGTTGTTGAAAAGTGATCTTTTGCCAAAGACCTGTGGTTGCCTCCTGCTGGGGTTTGCCAAATTCCTGGAAGATGCAGCCTTTTGTCCCCCGGGGATAATGAAGGCTTGCCGCCCTAAGAATTGACTTACAATTATTCAGACAGAGCCTGGAGCTGTTGGCTGGCCCACGAGCCACAGAGAAGCAAGTAACTGTTTTAGGGAACAGTGGAAAACCACATATCCAATTGTTCCAGAATGTTTTGGAATCAGACCTGAATTCTCATCCCAGTCCTGTTATTTACTAGTGTGTGATCTAGAGCAACTTTTTTCTCTAGGCCTCTGTTTCCTCATCTCTATAACGGGAGCAAGGATTTCAAAGAGTTCTCGTGAGGCTTCAAAAAGGTGTCAGTGACTCCAGAGGACAAATGCTGTGACCACATCACACCCACACTTACAGGTAGCTGGGAGATGGCTTTATCACATCACAGCTCACCTGCTTGCTGTGGCAGCCCGGAGAAGGCAGGGCATCTTACTCCCACTTTACAAATGAGATAGTAAAGCATATGGAGGTGGCCCTGAAAGAAGATGCTGGGACTCCTGCTCCCTCCATGATGTCACACTGAACTGCCGTCCCCAACAAGCACCTCAAGATCCCCATCATTAAAAGCACTGATCCAGGGCTTCCTTGGTGGCGCACTGGTTGAGAGTCCACCTGCCGATGCAGGGGACATGGGTTTGTGCCCCGGTCCGGGAAGATCCCACATGCCGTGGAGTGGCTAGGCCCGTGAGCCATGGCCGCTGAGCCTGCGCGTCTGGAGCCTGTGCTCCACAATGGGAGAGGCCACAACAGTGAGAGGCCCGCGTGCCGCAAAAA